TGCGTTCAGTGACACTTCCTTGAGAGCAAGGGGAACGTATCCTTGTGTGCTGAGGCGTGAGATTTGTTGGCTGCTATCCCTCAGTGTGTCCAGTGTTTCTAGCTTCATACCCCCAAATCAGTTAATCAGTCATCGTGTGCTTCCTCCCTGAGTTACCTCTTCCTGGGCAGTCACTTAGAGAGACACAGACAAGAGACTCTGTTTCCCAAATGGTCGTTGCATGTGGAGGAGCTCCTGTAGCTTGTCTGGCACGGATCAGGCAGTCTCCAAGGACAGCCAGGTGTTTGATCTGATCTAGTAACAGCAGTGGCCACTAGTTGAGTTTCCTGGGTTCTTCCCTCAGTGTTGTTCCACTCCCTGGGACCTTGCGGTGAGCCTCAGCAAACGTGTTGGTAAATGACACTTGTCTCTTGCTTCTCTGTGAAGTGCTTGGAAGCCTTCTGCTGAAGGGGACTGCATACGCTGAGCACATCCTTCGGTTGTCTGGGAAGCAAAGAGGTGCAGGTTGTGGCTCATCCTAACCTCTCTTACTGGGGTTTTGCAGATTTCCATGCCAGTGTTTGTGGCTTGGGTGATATCCAAGGGAAAGGCTTCCTTATTCTGCTACCAATCCTTTTTTCTGCCTGTTGTGTTTTCCATATGTTTTCATTCTGAAGCTTCTCATCTTTAACAGGTATCTTCTTTTCTTCTCCTTTTCCCATGTTTTTTCCTCTCCTTCAATTGCACCACTTCAGGTATCAGACAGTGGTGATGCTTTGCTAAAGGAGTCTTTTTTGCTCCCCTCCTGGAACAGACTCAGAAATCCGCATGATGTGATGTGGTGGTATATGTAACAACAGACCTTGGTGCCGTGTCACATGATTGAGGGAAAAATGATGCTATGAAGAACGGAGCAACTTTAGAGCAAATCGGAGCTAGCAAGCTGGGACCACTTCGCATGCCTGACTGCACGATGCTGAACAGAGCTGCAAACATCAGGATTCTTCCAGGAAATTCAGGGTGGGTGGTAGGCTCTGACAGCTGAGCTCCACGTTTGTCATGCCCTGAGAAGTCCTCGCTCGTTTGATGATTAAACTGTAGCTACTTCCCCGACACAGAACTGCTGCCAAGATTCCAGTCTGGCTCAAGCTACTCTCCACACTTCATAATGAAGTTTGAGAGAGCTTTAACATCTTGGTGTTGGCAGAAACATGGTTTTAAAATCACGGTGTGGTTGGAGACTAGCTGGCTCCTGACGCTGGTAACAGGGCTGGAGACTTTCATCTCAAGGTCAAATCCAGCTGTGGTGTTAGTGACAAAGTCATGAACTTCTGACTGATGGTTCGGGGCTTATGTGTGGAAAGATGTCTCGAGTCCAGATTCAGGACTGGGAGTCGGGAGACTTGGGTTCAGATCCTGAACTTTGCCAGTTCTGTTCTGAGAGACCCTCAGCAAGACACTTAAAGTCCTCGTGCCTTCGGTCTCTCTGGGAAAAAGCACTGACCGTCTGCCTGCGTCAACGTGTGCCAAGTCCTCAGACTTGCTCATGGCTGCGAGCTCCTGAATACCATTGGATGCAGAAGCGCAAAGAACTAGGTGGGCCGAGCTGGCTTTGTCCGGCCCATGTTAGACAAGTGCCTGGATCACAGTTGTCTGTGTTGGCAGTAACTGGCCTGCTTTTTGCCAACTCGGAGGGCGAGGACGTAATGTTCTCACGAGACGGTGCTGCTCTCCCATTGCTGGGCGATGCCGTTCCAAGTGCAGGCAGCCCTGTGCTCAAGGGGAAGCTCATGTGGCTCTCCAGTGGCGACAGAGCAAGTTGGTTTCTGTGTTTGGTGGCTGGCATAAATAATCAGCAACAGCTTACTGAGAAATTAGTTTCCCAAAGACTGCCTTAACCACGACTGAGCTGCTGCCTTCTTTCCAAGACGTACATGGGCAGCCTCTCCTGGCAAGCCGTTGTTACTGCTCTTCAGAGTAAGTGTACCAATGGCCCTGCGGTGCCGTCCTGCAGGTACACTGGTGCCTGCTGTCCCTTGGAGCGGTTTTGGACCAGATTCATGCGATTTCTGGCTCCAGCTTGGCCTTGTGCCCGGCCGAGCACGGGGCAGGCTGCTGGCGGAGCGGGCTGGGGCAGCGCTCCGTCTCCTGGCGGCTCTCGGCACTGCCGGAGGAGGCTCTTCCCCGAGGAGACGCGGGTGCTCCGGCCTTGTGTCTGCCTGGCCTTGAGAGAAGAAGCATAAAGCTGCAGCCTGCAACGCTGTAATCCCAAAGCTTCAGCCTCTCCCCATTCGTGCCAGATTCCTTTGGCTGTTAAATAAGGGTCGGAATTTTGAGGGGAGCTTGCAGAGTGTGACTTCTATGTTTGCTTTTAGCTTCATGAATAGCAGCACTGACTTGTCTGGCTGTATACTGGGAAAACTCTGATTTGCCAGTTTTGAAGGACTGCTGGCTTAAAAGAAAAGCTGACGTTTATGCAACTGTCCCTTTGGTGTTGGCTTCAGAATCGCTGATGCCTCACACAGGTCTGCTTGTGTCTGCAGGTAGCCCTCTGGTTTCCCGTGGGGCATGGCAGTACCTGTGCGTTAATGGGGACCCTGGGGGTGCTGTGTGCTGTGCACAGAGCTACCAATGGTGTCCTGTGGAAACCCGCTGTGGTGAGGAAGAGTGTAACCCTATTTCAGATGGGGAGAGCCGAGGCGCACATCAGCTAGCTGGAAAAAAAGGCTTCATGGAGATCACTGAGGTAGCGAGTTGTGTCATGATGATCTTTGTCACGCTGGTGTGTCGATGCACCCCAGATCTGAGTGGTGGGGGTGGGAGGAGGAGGGAAGACACATGAGAGATATATGCAGTTTTTGTGAGAGTAATGTTTTGGAAACTAGTACTGAGTGAGGAAAGGCTAATGTCAGCCTTTGTTCGACATAGAGGCAGGGCGAGGGAAATCAGAGTCATCATCTCTGCTACTTGCAACAACTTGGTAGCGATGAGACCTCCACAAAGCATACTGGTGTTATTTGGGGGGGAGGTGTGGGGAAGAGCCAGAAGGGTATGAGGGCTTCAGGAGAAAAATAAGAGTTGTCAAATCAGATCCATGCTGTGGTAAACCCTTGCTCTGTTATTTTGTGTGTCTCCTTTTTCTGCAGCTGGGGGTGGCTGGGTGCTCTGGGGATATATCCAGGCTGGAAGATGCTCTACAAATTAGTAGCAACACTGCCCTTGAGTAGGTAAGTACATTCTGCTGACTTCTTGTTTGTGTTAGTTACAGGACTCTCATCAGGCCCACATACAAAATGTCCTACCGAACTGTGACCACGCTGGAGTGGAGGTGCTGTCCTGGCTTCACAGGGAGCAACTGTGAAGAGGGTAAGTTATCCAGCGATGCATCTGTCCTTAGAGCAGCAAGTGGATGTATGGATGGACTGGCTGTGTTGAGTTGGGGTTTGTTGCCTCTCAAACACAGGAACAAAGCACCTATTCTGTTCGCTCCACCTCATTATCTGAATGTCCACACACAAGCTCCAAAAGGTGGTCTTGGAAAGCAGAGCGTACTGAATGCCTGCAAAGAACCCTGAACAAGGAGGGGAAAGAAATGAAGAAAGGGGTACTCGGGGACGACCTGTTTATAGATGTGCTCATGCCTGCTGTCCCTATTGCATAGTCCTTCAGAAAACATGCTTTCTCCATGTCAGTGTGTATCTTCTCCACATCCCGCCATCATCACCATCAGTTGCTGTAGCTGCTGAAAGCTGGTCACTGGATGGCTGGTTGTAGAAGTTTTATGCCTGTAGTGTCAAGGCACAAGTATCTGTGTTCCCAGAGAGTTTTGAATTAAATTAGGCACCTTCTGTTCCCTTTCCCGCCCTCCCCCTGACTTATTGGTGCAACATTGAGGTTGCACAGTGCATGTGAAAACACAGTTCTGGGTTTGACATCTGATCTTTCACACAGAGGAAAACCCATCGTGATGGACAAAAAGGGCATGTTTTGCATTTTCCTTCCTGATGTTTTCTGCTTTAACTGTTGCTTCTGGGGCTTTGAAACAAGTCCTGCTTCTCCATCGAGTTTCAAGTTTGGGCAGTAAGTTACCTGTCAAATCTGCATCATGAGTGTTCATGGCTTAGGAGTGGGAGAGAAACTAAGCCTTGCGTTTTTTATTCACTTGCATCAGGTCAACGCAGCCTGCCTCTGCTGGCTGGTGAAGCGTCATTGTGGGTGTCCAACATCTCCAAGACTCTGCTGTTTGTAGCTGCACCTTGTTTTCTTTGTGCTGCAATATCTCAGTGCTAATCACACAGTTCAGGCCAATCTCGAACTCGGAAGTTGTCTCATTACAGTCACAAAGAACCATGGTTGCAGACAGCAGCTTGCTTCAGGCTGCTGAGGAAAGCAACTTCCCAGAAGCTCAAGAAGTATCTTAAAAAGTGGCAAAGCTACCCTAAATTGCAGTCTGCAGGAGAGCGCTTTGCATTTAACATGCTGCTAAAACGAGCCTGGGAAAGAGAAGCTGCTGTGTGCAGCTTGGATTTTTACCTGTCGCTGCAGGGGAGAGGGATGCTAAGGGTTGTGGCAGAACTGGTATTTCCAAAGTAGCTGCAACGCAGCCTGGCTGAAGATCTGACCGGGGACCGAGAAGCCTGTGTGTGCAGCCCGTGCGCGCCTGTAGGTTTGGACAGGTGTGAGTAATTACAGCTTAGTGGTGCTGCTGGGGTGGAGGAGAGAATCCAGCTCCCTCCCCCAGTGCCAGATCTGTCTCAGTAGAGTTCAGTGGAAATAAAAAGCCAACATAAGCTTGTTTGAGAAAGTCAGCAGCAATCTCACAGGAGCAGGTCTGTGGAACGAGGTGACAATTTTATGCAGTCAGTTTTCAAGGTGGAACTGTTCTTTTGGGCTTGGATATGGTCTGTGGAGTGTGAGCAGAAAGCCAGTAGCAAGCCCTTGCTTTCATGTGTGAGATTCTTTTTACCTTTTTTTTTTCTTTTCTCCCTAAAACATCTGGCACTACTGACAGTCCCATTTTCTTGAAAGAAGGAGGAAAATAAAAAAAAGACCCCTTTCTTGTACAGCAGAGTTGTGCCACTTAATTTCTAGCAGCAGTATTGACACTAGTGCTGTGCACAGCACCTCAACCTGTCCAAAGGCATCAATTTTAAAATTCAAGTATTTACTTGCTCCTTACCTTAATTCTTAATGTTAGTGTCACTTGTAAGTAAAAGAGGCTGAAAAGAGGTTTCTAGGGCTTTTTAGCAACCTGATATAAAGCCTTTTGTACTCTTTATTTTCTGCACTCTCTCCCTACTGCAGATTCAGTTCCTCTGAGAGGGTAGGGTGCTTACACGTCTGTGGGTCCTTCCTGGAAATGGTAGACAAAAGAAAACGGAAAACTAAACTGAAACAAAACAAAAATAGTGCAGTTATGAAGCCGCAGTGAATTAGCAAGGTAGAACCTCAGAATGCTTTCATCTTTTTTTTTGGTATTAGTTGGATTTCTCCTCAATATTTCATTTGACTTGTACGAGCAGCTGGTGCTTTTTAAGTTGATGTGGGGTAGGTATATTGAAGGCAGATTGGACCTGCACTGTTTTTAACTTGCCTCCTCGCTGTGTTGCAAATGCTCTAATTCTCTGACAGTCACTATTGTTCTCCATGTGTCAGCAGAATGGCAGCTACAATGGCTCTGAGCTTCCACTTCAACATGTCTCCTGTTTCCAGACTCTGAAGTAAAAAGTTTTCTTTCCCAATGGGCCCTGGAATATTAAGGTTGCATTTTCGTGAGTAGGATGGACTAAGCCAGGAGATAACGGATTGATCAAGCACACAGAGCAGTTTTGGGAGCTGTATGTGCATATGGGCATGGCTGCAGGGTCCCTTTTTCAGACTGATGGTGTTTTTTGCATCTTGAGGGATCCTGTCTCTCAAGGATTGATTCCTTCTTTAATCCCCAGTGAGCAGCATTGGTACTTGCTCCTTTTTTGTGCTGTTCTGGAGCAGTGTCTTTAGGGAAGCCACTGTAGCCTATCCAAAGGATGGATTATTTTGACTAGCTGTCCTTTCATGAGGCCTTTCTTTCCCTTTTTTGATTTGTTTCTTTTGGCATTTTATGAGGGCAGATAGGATGGTGGGAGGGTGAACCAAGGAAACCAAGTCGAAGAACTTGCAATCATTCAAAGGCTGCAGTGCAGCTATTTCTGACATGCATACTTGTTATCTCCCAAACGGCAGGTCAGCTTTTCTTTTGCAAAGGAAACAGTCCAGCATAAATGTTTAGCCCCAAAGTGTGACAGAACAGACTCCTGATGAGACTGGCTTGCTGTAACACACCTTCAGTGAGAAAACTCCTTCCAGAGTAACGTACTGTGCTCTGATAGAGCAAGCTGTTAAATGCAGTTCGGTTATTACAGAGTGGCTTGACCCTTAGCTAATAAGTTTAGCTCGAGAAAGTAACCGCTTAACTGTCACCAGCTGGCAGACACCTACATTAATGCACATGTTTAGATTGAAATTATCTTGGAATTTAACTTCTGCATTGTAGCTGATAAAGAGCAGCATCGTCTGGAGGAAGCGCAGCTCTGGAAGCGGGTGGAGATTTTGCTACTCAGTGGGCTGTTAGTTCACTGAGGTGGGGATGGCTGCCTCCAGTCTGTTTCTTTTTTTTAAGATGACACTGCTTGGGGCTCTCCCCCCTTCCCTTCATTGCTTTCCTGTCACCCAAAGGTATTTCAGCATTGAAAGGTCTCCAGTTCCTTTACTCTTTTTTGCAGAACTGTGACTAGCTAGTTTTGAGTAGATAGTTAAAAATTGCCAGTCGTACCAGGACTTCCTGAAGGGTTTCTTGCAGCTTTCTTGGATGGAGAAAGAGACTTGATGCAAACAAGTCTGCTGAATTTAACTGTCAGTAGATGCTAACTTTTATTTTGCAGTTTCAGGGGGTTTTTTGTTTTGTTTAAACTGGAGCCCAAGCCTAGGACAGGAAATGAATCCACTGAGCCACCCAGCCTGCTGACTGCTGATATAAAGAACATATGGACGAGGGCAGTGCAGAGGTGAAGTGGTTTAGCTATTGCAATCATGCATCAAGCTGATTGATTTGAATCCAAGATGATGCTGACATTTCAACTCAGCCTTTTTTCTATATGGCTGAAAGTTCAAAGGCAAGTGCAATCCCTTGGGAGAGGAAGAGTGTCCCTAGCAAGCTCAGGGGCTCAGCGCTGCCCTAGAGCTCTCCAGCTAGGCAAGGTCTTATTTCACTTTACAAATCTGACATGGATTTCTTTCTTGTTTGTTTGTGTTGCTTGAATTTGGGACAGTAGCCAGTATCCTATTTACCCCAGAAGCAGACTGATGGTAGACAGCTTAGCTGTTTGGGCAAGAAGCAGATCCAGGAGTAACTTGGCACCTCTAAAGTGATGCCATTGTGATTCTAAGCTTGCTTTTTTTTTTTTTTCTTTCCATAAGAATACAAGTAGGATAGGAAATTTGAGCAGTCTTGTTCAACTGATGGTTCAATTTGAAAACTTTCCCCGCCCTGATTTCAGTTCTCGCAATATTTGTATCTACTTTTAATAACTATTGTTTGCATCTTGTCATACTGATATTTTTCAAACCTCTTAGATTCCCATGTAGTTACAATTTTCAAAGCAGCATAAGAAAATGAGGACTTTCCTTTTGGTATGATAGAGTGCAAAAACCCGCTCTTTTTTTACTGCTGGTTCACAAAGTTTCTTGGTCTCAGGAGGAGAGACGCAGACCAACACTGCCAGGAAAATCTTAAAATAGCAAATGCAATTATGATACAAAATTTGATGAGGCCATGAGAATGAACATCAAAACTAGAGACCTGAAAGTTTGAAAGACCATTAACGTGCTCTAGAAGGAAGGGTATTCAAAGTGGTGGTGATGGGACCTCACTTCTCCAGGTCCTGGTTTGCTCCCCTGTGAACCGTTAAACACAGAACTGTCAATCTGTGTGAAAATACAATGTGAAGATTGTGGAGTAACATTTCCCATGATATCACAGTAGTTCTCTTCAGGAGTTGAGCTTGTGTGCGTTTTCCTTTTGTCAAGTACTTCAGTTTCTTCTTGTTTCTCCCTCTTCCTTGTAGCCACCGTTTGGAAGCAAGGCAGTTAAGTCTCTGTGTCGTGTACAACGAGTAGCAGAGCTCTTTGCTGCCACTGAGCATTTTTCATCTTGCCCTTACAAACATAAAATGCGAGAGAAGGCAGTGGGAGTCAAGAGGGGCATTGCACAGTCTGTTCCAACTGCTGCTAAAGCCTGGTACAGTGATGTTTTCCCACTTCAGTGGAGTCCAACTCCTGTCACAATCAAAGCAAAAGCTTCTATTTGAACAGTGAAATTCTCCCAGAGG